TCTGCCGCTCCGGCGGGCGCAGGTCGCCGCGGGGCGGGGGGCGCAGGGTGAGGCGTGAGGCAGCAGCAGCAGCTCCGCCATCCAGCCGCCTCTGGCGGGAGTGGGGCTTCGGTTGGGTTTTTTTTGGGAGGCACACAGATGGCTCACACGGCTTCAAAAATGTTCAAAACAAATACAGAGCCCAGATGTAAAGGTGAATCTGGCCACAGATGCAGCAAATGAGAACCTGAGCACAAATGAGAACCTCAGTAACCTGGGACCCTGCAGGTGGCCCACGCGTGATGCTGCGGGCTTGAAAAAAACTTCAAAAAAAGCTTATACGATTTCTTCTGGCTCTAACCCAGGCCATGGAGTGTGCACTCAGGAGACCCGACCTGGAGCTCTGTGTCCAGCTCTGGAGTCCTCAGCACAGGAAGGACATGGACCTGTTGGAATGGGTCCAGCGGAGGCCATGAAGATGATCAGAGGCTGGAGCACCTCTGCTGTGAGGACAGGTTGAGAGAGCTGGGGTTGTTCAGCCTGGAGAAGAGAAGGCTCCGGGGAGACCTTAGAGCAGCCTTCCAATATCTGAAGGGAGCTACAGGAGAGCTGGGGGGGGGGGGCTCTTTGTCAGGAAGTGCAGTGACAGGACAAGGGGGAACGGTTTTAAATTGGAAGAGGGGAGATTTAGATGAGATATCAGGAAGAAATTCCTTACTGTGAGGGTGGTGAGACACCGGAACAGGTTGCCCAGAGAAGCTGTGGCTGCCCCATCCCTGGAGGGGTTCAAGACCAGGCTGGATGGGGCTTGGAGCAACCTGGTGTGGTGGGAGGTGTCCCTGCCCAGGGCAGGGGGGTTGGAACTTGATGATCTTTGAGGTCCCTTCCAACCCAAACCACTCCATGATTCTATGACTCACCCAGAAAGCAGCAATACCTGTCCTTTGCTCTGGGTGTTCCCTGGCACAATTATAAAAACAAACTACTCCTGCAACTCCTTTCAACCAGTAATTAACCCAGCATTCAGTAGGCAAAAACACTTATCCTAGATCCCTCCAACTTTTCTCGGCAGACTATGTGTAGCTGAGATTTCTACCAACACTGCAACACCACCACATTCCTCATAATTTTCTGCTTTGAAGCACAACGTGTGTCAAGTACTCAGGAGATACCAGGAAAAGAGTTTATACCCCATTCATGGCAAATAATGAATTATCATTTTAAAAGCTTTTACAAGCATATAACTTTAAAAATATAAAAACTATCAGAAAATGTTTGGGGTTTTTTCCCTATCCTTGTCTTTGGCCTAAAAGAAAAGATTGTAAATAGAAAACCGCAAAAGAACAAGTGGGTCTGATTATAAAGCAAGCAGATAATACCATTGTTATATCAGATAATCAGATTCAACTGCTCATAAGTGACTGGGGATCTGTGTCACCTTGATAGTAGACAATATCTATTACAAACTCAAAAACCCCACCCTCAAAAACCAACCCAAATATACAACAACACACCAACAACAATAAACCCCCCAAAACACACCAACAGCAATAAACCCCACACCCAGCGCTTTGTGAAATTGTTTTTAAGTCCTTAAAGTGCCAGTAAAACCACTATCATCTCTGAAGGCAAGATGACAATTTTACAGCAATTAACAGATGAGGAAATGCACAATGGGACAAAATAATAAAAGAACAAGTTGTCCAAGCAGCAGGCAGACACCCGTCACTGGAAAAAGTAAATGTAACACAAAATCCTGGACTCCCAGCAGAGCATACATTTCACACTTAGACAAACACTCACATTCACATTTTTTAACTGAAAACTAAGCTTGCAGCAGTAGCTATTTAGTGCCTATTTCATGTGTAAATGAGGTAGTACAGAAGGCAGCAAGAGGCGATTACTGATTACTTCGTATTTCCTGGGGTGTGGAGGTGACAAGATTAACATGAAATCCTCATACAACACTTTTTAAGGTGGGCATCTCTGAAGAGACCAGTGTCGATCTCACCAGGTTCCGGACAGGGACATCAGGATTCCGTGATGTGCCCAGCATCACCCACGCAGCAAACAGCAGAGCCTCGAAGGCAAGACAAGCATCCTCGATTGCAGTGAGGTCCTTCAAAGAGGCAAACTAACTGCCAGTATTGGAGTTGCTAACCTTGGTAGCTAATTCTTCTTATTTTGCAGCATTTTATAAATTCAAAGCACTGTAAAAATGTTAAAGCTCCATCAAGAGGGAAGCAGAGTATCTCTTTTCCCTAGAAGCCTAATTCAGGCTCTCAACTCTGATAATACAAGTTGCCACAAGACCTTTCAGCCAGGTTTGTAATATGTAGTTTACTCAACACAGTAAATATGACAGTTTTGTCTTTTTTTACCCTTGGCTTTCTTTGAAGATTGGCTCAAATCATCTTAACTCCACGTCTGGAGTTCACCATTCTGCCATTCACAGCATCATATGAACTAAAACTCAGCAGAAAAACAAACCAGAAAATTCCTGTCTATATCCTCTTGCTGTTTTCTTCAACTGTGTCATAACCTGGAGGGGACTTTTTGCCTTTTTTTTTTTTTTCTTTTTGTTTTGCTGAAGCTGAACTAATTGATTTTCTAATCAGGGGATTTTTCTCCTTTTCAGATAAGACACAACCCCTAGGAAACACACCCTACCCTCAACCCCTTTTCTGCCAGGAAAGGGCCAAATAAACAAAGAAAGCAGCAGCTCGGCAGGAATGCTATGCAGATACATGATGTGCAAGCCTTTGCCCTCAAGACAGCAGCTTAAGCAGGAGGGTTTCAGCATTTTTACAGTCAGAAAGAAACCACACTGCTCTGGGGACTGCCACTGCTGGACCTGGGTGGATTCACAGATGGGTAACCTTCCTCAGGTGGAACATCTCCCCTCTCCTCAACCTTCAACAAAAATGTTTCAGATCCCAGGTGAGTACCCCTGTCCTTGGACCACTGCTGTTCTCCCCTAACCAGCTGTCACATTTTGATGAGTTATAGATAATGATGAGGGGGAGAAGAGAGACTGAGGATGGCCAGGCTGTCATGTGGGGGCACAAGAAACTGAAGCTTCTTAAATATTTCAGAAGGTGTAATTTAAACAAACATACATTGACAACAGGTCATTAAAATTTGGGGGTTTGTTGTGGGTTGTGGCATTTTTTTCCAATTCTTTTGCTTTGCAACACATAATCACAGAATAATTTAGGTGCCTGGGATACCCAGACAGCAGTTAATCCAACTTCTGCCCTGAAAGCACAATCGACTTAGATGTCGTTTGTATTGAGGCTGGATATCCTACAACCTCTCTGGGCCCCTGCTCTTACTATCTAATTGTCATTTCCTGTGTTGCAAAATGCATCTGATGCCTCCTGTCCTTTCTGCTCACATCTGAGAGAAGCCTACTCCTGACTGCTCACTCCTGCAACACTTTGAGCCCTCCAGCCCAGCTGTCCCAGCAGCTCTGCGCCATGCTTCCTGCAGCATCTCAGTGGATGCTACACTCCCCTGCTAGGGAATGTGGTCTCCCCAGCGCTGGGCAGAAGGGAGGAATCACAGAGTCACGGAATTGTCAGAGTTGGAAGGGACCTCTAGAGATCATCTCATCCAACTCCCCGGCCAAAGCAGGGTGCCCAGAGCACATCACTCAGGAGCATCCAGGCAGGGCTTGAAGATCTCCAGAGAAGGGGACTCCACACCCTCCCTGGGCAGCCTCTGCCAGGGCTCTGCCACCCTCACCCCAAAGAAGTTCTTCCTCAGATTGGAGTGGAACTTCCCATGGTCCAGCTTGTGCCCGTTGCCCCTCGTCCTCTCATTGGGAACCACTGAAGAGTCTGGCTCCATCTTCCCTCAAACCGCCCTTTAGGAACTTGTAAACATAGATGAGGTCTCCCCTGAACCTTCTCCTCTCCAGGCTAAAGAGCCCCAGCCTTTGAGCTTTTCCTCATAAGGGAGGTGCTCTAATCCTTTAATCATCTTTGTTGCCCTACGCTGGACTCTCTCCAGCAGTTCCCTGTCTCTCTTGAACTGGGGAGCCCAGAACTGGACGCAGGATTCCAGTTGTGGCCTCCCCAGTGCAGAGCAGAGGGGGAGAATGACCTCCCTCCACCTCCTGGCCACACTTCCCTATGCAGCCCAGGATCCCATTGGTCTCTTGGCAACAAGGGCACATTGCTGGCTCATGGAGAGTTTATTATCCACCAGGACCCCCAGATCCTTCTCCTCAGAAGTGCTTTCCAGCAGGTCCACCCCTAACCTCTATTGGTGCCTGGAGTTCCTTCCCGCGTGCAGGACCCTACTTCCCTTGTCCTGCCAGCCACTTTCCTGTACACGCAGCCCATGCAATAGTTTGCTACAAGGACATCCTGGTGACTCTTGTTCGTCTTGTTCACCAGGACTCAGTCTGCCTCACATAGCAAAGTCTAGGATTCAGTGCAATGTATGTTACCAAAAAAAAAAAAAAGAAAAAAAAAGGAGTAACTGCAGCTTTCAAAATGCATGCTTATTTTCTTCTTAGGCCTTAATGATAATGTTTTAAATCAAGACTTAACAAAAATATTCCACATCCTCTGTCAAGCTTATGTGTGACTCTACAAAAAGCTGTGGAAAACAATAATGATGAAAGTCAGACAGCCTCAGAAAAGAGAATATATTTAACTGCTGCTAGAAAGTTCTTAATAAGTATGACCAAAAGCACTGATAATTAAACATGCTGAT